ACTACAACCCATTTTATGCCCCAAAAAAAATATCGCGCCGAAAAAAAAAATATTTTGAGTTTATCAAAAAAAAAACAAGAAAAAAAAAACAGGAAAAGAGTTCTGATTTTTTATATATTTATGGTAATGTGCTCTCCTGTCTCGTTTATCTTGTGGTGTGGTAAGAGGACAAACAACAAGGACGACAGCGTCCTTGGTCCTTTGTGGTTTGTATATCATTCAATAAATCACGCATCCGCAAGGACTTTTTTTTTTCTTCTCATAATTATTTATTATGGTTCTTAATCTAATTGAAATTATATAATTAATGCATATGTGTATCATCTTAATATCAATAGTTATAATTTCATTAAAAATGATTTTAAAAATAAAAGAATAAATATACCACCAAAAATGAAAGGCTAATGACATTCGGGTAATTACAAAAATCATATTATATAAATGCAGATCGTATGACTACAAATGATGATTTTGATCATTATGAAAATCATATAAAATGCAGGTCCAAATTTTTGTTAAAACTTTTTTCAGGTGATGAGTGTTTATTTCTTTTCTTTTTTTCAATTTATTCTCTCCTTTCTCTTTTTTCGTCTTTTTATTATATACCCAAGGCACCTTTCTTTCTTCATGTGATATCTTTTAGCTATGGCAACAGAACAAAGACTTTATGGACCTAAAATCTTGATTATTTAATTTATTTTTCCATAATCATATAGTACTTAACGATATAGAATTCTAATATAACCCAATCAAAACAGTATCTAATATTATAATAAAATAGATATAAATTTAAAAAAATTAAACATTTGAACCCCAAAAGAGAACCTAATCCAACCCAAATAATCTTAATTGAAATCTATGTTTTCTGCCAAAATATAATTGTATATAAAGAACGGATACACTTAAAATTTTTAAAAAATATAACATTGTAATACTTGATAGAACATCGGTACTAGAATTATATGAAAATAAAATATCTAACTTTAAAATATAATTTCAGAATTTAGTTTTTTTTTTTTTGTGGGACAATGCATGGAAGGGTTATGGGATGGCTGTGTGACTGTGTCCCAACTGTTGGGTCAAGGGTCAAATAAAGCATACCGAAAATTGAAATAAAGATTACACCTATTGAGTACTTAATTAAAATGTAATAATCGAGTTCGGGGATAGATATGTAATTTTAAACTTAGTAAATTAATTTTCCTTTCAATATCTTATAAAAGTCCAAAGTCGATGGTTCATAATTAATACAATAATTTAATTAACATGACGTATTATTTTTAAGATTCCCCAAAGTCGAATGTCAACAGTTCTAATAATAATAATACTAATGATAATAAAAAATAAATTTAATTGACTGAGTAATAAGTATGGGAAAAAGAAAAAAGGAATAACAAATGGAGAATCCAGTCATCATAAGGATTTCAACCTTCATGACATACAAAAAAAAAAACGACAAAGGGATTTGAAAATCCACGAAGATAATAACATAGTATTGTTTATGAGTATATAATATTATGATGTTGTCATTGAAATTATCACTTTTACGAGAGATTGCGTCATATGATTTTTGTGGCAAGCGTATTCCCGCATGTCAACTATATGCGCATAAATATAAAAAGTTGGGTCCAATATAAATATGAGCATATACGCATGTACATATTTAATATTTATATGCACATAATATATACGTATGTATGTACAATATAACCAAATGGAAGGCATAGATAATTTATAACTTATTTGTACATATGCTTGAATATTATATACTTATATGTAAGATCCGGCCAAATGGAAAACATGGAGGTACACTTAATATGAGTATTTTATAGAACAATATGCCAATTTTTTAAGCCTAGTGAAGATATTTTTGAGAAAATTATTTTATGATTTAACACTGATGACCAAATCACACACACACACACACATATATATATATATATATATATATGTACTATATAAATATTGAAAAAGGTAGTTATTCCCAATCTTATTTTAAAATCTTAAAAGTTTGACAAGCTTTAAAAATATAATATTATAGCTGTTGTACTTTGTAGAAATTTATATAATAAAATTAAGAAAAGCTTGAGTCATGTAAAATGGTTTATATATTTTAAAGAAAAATAGTTTGAATAAAAAATAAACAAACGAAATCAGAATAAAAATTATTTCAATGGCCACATTAATTTTGTTTTCACGTTTTTATCCATAATTTGTCCGGATGTTATGGTAAAGAATCATGAATACCGACCAAACCAAATGGTCAGAAAAAGTATGAAATTGATAGAAATGGACATTGCCATGACAATCACTAAACTTTAATTAAAGCCATGTTCAAAGGAATTGATTCTTATTATATCATCATCAATGAATGCTCCTGCTTCCATCGTAATTATAAAAACGTGTAAGTATCCATTGTATTTAGCATTACATCATTTTCAAATTATAACGATTTTTAATTGGTATTTTATTAAATGGTATTTTGTATGGGGAAAATATTCTTGATCAAAAATTGATGTCAGTCCAGAAAATCAAATAACATCAGTAGAAGAGGGGAATTTTAATTTGTAGACATTACGAATTTATTAGATGAAAAGTCAAAATCATGGATTGTGTGTTTCCTTTTTCATATGTGTATTTTTGAATATATAAATTAATCATATTAATTTACTGCGAAATTCAACATAAATAAAAAACTTCTGTAACTCTAATACTAAGAATAATTTTTTTATATAATCTATCTAGAAAATATTAGGAATCTTGCTATAAAAAACAAAACAAAAGGTAAATGAGATGAATATATACTGATTACAATAGAGCTAGAAATCAGATGTATTATTAAATAATCTTATAAAATTTATATAGATGATTTAAGATTTGATTAGTCGTCATAATAATATAAAAACAAAATTTATATGTAGGAAATAATTTTTTTTATCAGATATTTCTATTTATAATATCATAAATTCAACTTAAATTTAAAAAAAAAAACTTTCGGAATACAAATTTAGGGAAGGAATTTAGGGGGCGTGGGAAACAGTGATGCACAATGGCCGAATGGACCAACCAAAAAAAATGTGCAATGGTGGAAAATACATATATCTAACAAACTTAGGTAATTGTGTAAATGATAAATAACTATAAATTAAAAAATCGAATAAATAATCCATCAAGTCTCGTTAGGTTGTGTACACGTGTAAAAGATTAGCTTTTCACTTTTAAAACTCTGTTTTTTTTAATCTTTTGGTAAATCACAAATTTCTAAATATGACTAGTAACCTAAATGTCCACGGCAACGGTCCAAAAAAAGTTTTTCCAAATTCGAACATGAATTTAATAATCCAAAAACGATATCATTTATCTACAATAACAATAATCATTGTCGAACCTACATACAATAATAAATACTCACGTATCCTCGTATTGGTTTTTCACAAGTTCGGATTTTTTCGGAAAAGAGTATTTCTACATTTCATACAAAAATATATCGGTGATAGCGGACATTATGGACTAATGAAGGATAATATATCAATCACATATATATTGCCATATATGTAACTAATTACGCGTAATTAGTTACATATATGGCAATATATATATATATGATTGATATATTATCATTCGTTAGTCCATAATGTCCGCTATCATTATATACTCATAATATTAAAGATTACGTGATCATAAAAAAGATTATGCATCCATTTTTATGTGATGTCGATATTTAAACAAATATAAGTGTAACCGAATGTGCTCAACGACATAATAGAGGATTTCAATAAAGCAAAATAAAAGGATAGACCGAATATGCCATGAAGATGCATGGTTCTGCACATGCTAGATATTTGCATCATCATATAAAATACATTAATGTTTTTTTAAGTGGATTTTGTGATTAAACATATATATATATATATATATATATATGCGTTATTTAGGCAGCCTCCCCTGTTGAGTCGTATCCATTTAGGTTGCAATATTCACCGTTACTCCATTTGGTTGATTAATTTTCCTTTATCTATTTATTGATATCCAAGCCAAATACAAGTACTCGCTTCATATAGAATAAAAAATCAAACCTAATATAAATTTTAAAAAGCCTAAAAAAATTCAGAAAAACTGTATGAAACTGTTTAAAAATAGGCAATATATAATTCAAAACATGATCTTATCGTGAGTTTAAATCTAAATATCGAGATGAATATTCATTTGGATTTTTTTAATCAATCAAAGATATAATTGGGTCGAAGGTTTAGTAAATTTTTGTATTATTAAAAAAATAGGAAATAATTCAAACAAGCCATGTAGGAGGGGTTAGGAGTGATGAATTATGACCATACGATGAATTATATTCCGGGAAATCCGAACATTAATTTTCAGATCAAAATAGTCTCCTTAAAGGAATCAAGATTTGAAATATGGTTACAACAACATGTAATGTGACCGTGTTGGACTTGTCCATGTCCTCTACAGCTTTTCATTAAAAAACAAATTTGTCCATTTCTATAACCATTTTAGAATTGTCAAAATTTGAAAATATTTAAATATTTTGAGTATTAATATTTGAACTAAATTATAATTTTTTAGGTAATCGAATATCATACATTAAAATCCAGACTAATTTCGAAAATAGAAATCTATAATATCAAAATATATGTCTATTTCTTAAATTTGAGATTCGAATTCGTAAATTTTATAATTTTATATAAATATAATGACTATTTTATAAATATTAAGAAATATAAAAAAGAATTTTATTTTTTTAATAAAGATAAAATATTATAATTATATCTAAAATGTAAAACTAAATCGGATGTATAAATTCCAATTCAAATATTAGCCAATTCTAACCCATTTCCACGTGGCATGGGACCCGACAACTCGTTCAATCATTTAACAAACCAAAGCCTGCTTCTTCTTCTTTTTTTTTTTTTTATGGCGTTGTCAAAATAGATATGATGTCGGCAACAATAATGCTAAAACAAGATCTTACTCCTCTCTCATTTAAAAAAAAAACTAATTTTTCAATTAATGTCTATTTTTATTCATAGGCTTCTGAATTACCATGAACACACAATCAAACTCAAACAAACATTCATTTGAACATTTTTAATTTTCTGAGTGATATATTGAAACAAAAAATTTACCGAATTTTTGGATTAGAAAAAAAAAATTAATCTCTCTTTGGACTGGAAGACTGAGACCACTAGAAACCGACAGTTCTAATATCCTGCGTGGCATAAAAAACGGTGGGACACGTAGCGAGAGGGAAACAGTGGAGCGCACCGGAAACTTTCGGTGGGTGCGTCACACGTAATTCGCTCCATCACATCCGGGTCGAGGAACGGCACCAACCCACCCGTTTGAGAACCACATGATGACTATCATCATTATCCACCACTAGTCATTCGACACGTGGTGACCATCGATCACATGTGGGGCGGTGCACCGGATAAGGACTTTTCCGCTCCTCCCTCGACTTCCTCTGCTGTTCCTACCTAGCCCCCCATTCTCGTTTGTTTTTTCTCAAGTAAATTTAGGGGAAAAAAAGTTTTTTATTTAGATGAACATTGATATAATTATTAAAATGATTAAATTGTTTAGTATATTTTTATAACTAAAGAATCTATTCGGATATAAAAACAATTCAAAAGATGAATATAAACAAAGTTTCGAGAAATTAAACATTTTATTAATAAAATTTATTTCGACAAAATATCAACGCTAACTCTGATTGAAAAACAAAAAATTTTGAATTTTCAACACGTCTTGAAAATATATTTGAATACAAATTTTATAAAATACTGCAAATAAGTCACGAGATCAATCTGAATAGAAGATAAAACGTGATGTCAGTAAAAAAAAACAAATCATTATTTAGAGTTGTGAATAATGTTTTCAAAAGTAACATAATTAATCTATTTGATTTTTTTAATAATTTTCTTGATCACTAATAATGGCATTATATTTGTGTCGTGGACCGTCGAGGACCAGAAAATTTTGTCAAAAGTTCACGAGAAATCTAGTGCTCAGTGACTTTTTATTGGTTGATTTAAAAACATTATTATATGGTCGAGTTGATGATTTATATTCTAGTAGATCATAAATTATAATTACAATAACTTTTTATTCCATTCTCAACCCCTTTTTTAATTTATTCACACATTGTTATTCTATTACATTTAGTTTAGGACCCACTTACGCAATGATCATGCAATTCGCTTATTTTCGTTTTTTTTAAATTATACCATTTGATTTTGATCTCCGTTTTCATCTTTCTTCTAATTTTATTTGAATTCGTTTGGAATTTGATTTTTATTCAAAAATTAAATTCAAAAGAAAAATATTTCTTGATGATTGTTTTGTATGTGGTTCAGACTCGGTTTTTATTTAATTAATTAATTAAATATATTTTTAAAACAAATTTGATTTAGATTCAACTAATTTAGTTTTAAAAAGTGTACAAATAAATTATATCCAATTAATTTTGTCTAAACCTCTATTAATCTTTCTTTTTCATGGACAGGTAATCTATTAATTTTTCTTTCGCAAAATCTAATTACTTAAACTATTACAATCAACACACAAAAACCTATTTAAACTATAAATTAAATAAATGAAAAACATACACAAGATGGGCCAGGAAAGGCCCAAAAGCCTTAATAGGCCCATAATACTTTGAAGCTGGGCTATACACTTTATCAGCGCCCGCTCTAGGTCAAAGACGTTGACCTTTTTGTTGCTAGGGCCTAAAAGCAGCTGGCTTAACCGGTAAAAAGTTCCGGTTAATGAACATGAAAATTTTCAAGAAATTGTGATGAATACCTAATACCGACGTTGATAACCATAATACCGCTACCAGAACTTTGGTATTTGTTCGGTTTGGTGATTGTGGTTTACTCATAGGAAAACAATAAATCAAATAAACGATACAAAACATATGCTGAATAGGATAATTAAGTACAGAGAAAACCAACTAAGATCAAGTGATCAAACCAAACTTACCTAGCTTAAACCGAGTTTTGCGGACGAACCCATGAACCGATTTTATCTCGGAGGAAACAACCTTGTGAACATGAAATAAGCAAGAAGATATATACACTTATATGAACACACAGCAAATTAGGGCGCATAAAAGAGACAAATGTTAAAGACAAACTCAGTTGGCACCTACGAAAATGGATATTAGTATATATTACCTCAGTCAAAGGGCAAAAAACATTAGCCATGTTGTCGGTTTAAGATGGTTTCAAAATAACATTATCCATTGTATATATGGACAGAAACCAATAAGTTGAATTGTCGTAAACCAACAATACATTGGCACGTCCAAATAAAAACCACGCTATATAAATATAAAATATATGGATGAAGCATTTTTTTGGGTCATGCATGCCATTTCATGGATCAGGTTATTCGTCGAATGCGTAATATTCTATATGCCCTAACGGAGCCCAAGAATTTTACGATCCACCCTAATCTACACGGCGAAGCGGCGAAAAAACGAGCCACCCTTTTGAAAAGTCCACAGAAATAGAATAATTAAGAAAAACGATGTCCTTGTCAAATATTATGTCGTTTTCGTACTTGTATAATATAGTCTTGGGAAATTTAGCAATTGATTATGATATTGTACAAAAACCAACTGTCCTTTATTCAATCGTGGAGTTTGCGTTTTATTAACAGGAGACATCATATAAATACATACAACTATCAACACACTCATAAATATATATATAAGTATATATATACATTGCACATTAATTTATTTCACACTAGCACTTTAGTTAATTAAAAGATAACCCACCACGTCTCGCCATCGTTTGCGAGGCGTCGTCGTCACGAGCACCCAATCCACGCGCCGTGGTAACGCGTGTGGGATTCACGTTCGGTCAGCGATGGGTCAGGTCGTATCTACCGGGATAAAAGGCTTCTGTTCTATGGTGGACCCCATTTTTTTTTTGTAATAGGCCAAATGCCGATATTTTCACGATAAATATCCCCAAACAATTACGCCAGATTCAACCTTTATCTCGGACGAGAAAATTAAAGATTCAAAAAGAGAGAGACGTATTAGACTATGTATCTACAATTTATCGCGCGTCTTACATATGATTGGCATCGAAAATGGATTATTCTCAGCCGTTGGATTATTTAATTTAAAAAATAGGATAGAGCACCGTGAACAGTATGGGCTACATGTAGCTGATTAGTCCACGTACGTACGTGGATTTGTTTGACACGTATGCGGCGATCGCACATGTATCGCGATCAGTAAAACTCGCGAGAAAGAGATATATCACGAGAAACAGGAAATATAAAAGGAGCGTTAGCAAAGTTTGAAAGCGACAGAACAAGAGAGAGAAAGTGTGGGTGGGGGACCAGTCTGGACGTGTGTACCGAATATTCACTCAATTTGATTTTGTTTTTCGAATCCGCCACTTAAACCGATGATAGCTTATCACACCATTTTTTATAAGTAAGACTGCCTATCTAGAAGCAACTTTACCTATCACCGATGGATGATCTGCTTATATCTGATAAGTCGGTAAACCCTGAAAGACCCTCTCTCTGCAGAACGCGTCGAAGAAAGCGAGGACAAGTCTCTCTCTCCTTTTCCTTCTCTCCTCCTTTGGTCTCTCTATCCATCTCTAAAAGCAGCCCTTCAAAACCCTAGAAATCCTCGAATTCCGAGCTTTGATTTCGTCTGAATTCAACGTTTTCCGAGTTGTCGAGATCTGCCGAGCTCGAATCGACCTCGGTTTGGAGCTTTATCACGTAATTTTACGTGTAATCTCGTATATATTCTAGATTGAGGCCTGGATTCGGGGTCCGAGAGGGAAGGATGTCTTCGTTGAGCCGAGAATTGGTGTTTCTCATTCTGCAGTTTCTTGAGGAAGAGAAATTCAAGGAGTCTGTTCACAGGCAAGTCTATGTGTGTATATATATGTATATAGATATGTATAACACACGTACGTGTACATGCCTGTATGCTCGTACGTTCTGATGGAAAGCTGGAAACCCAATTTAATTTCCGTCCCTGTTTAATGTTACGCGAGAGATTGTTTCTGGCGATTGATTCATGTGAAAAGGGTGATTTTTTTATAATGAATCAGGTTTTCTTTTTTTGGTGGAATGAATCAGGTAATTAGAAAAAGTAATTCTTGTTGCCATAGTTACATTTTCATGTAGGGATTGGGGTTTTTAGCGTATGTGCATGGATTAGAGCAGAAATTGGAGAACAGTGTGAATACTCTGAAACTAGCTGTCCAATTTTTTGTTAGATGTCCGCATGTTTTTGGAATCTCAAAATTCTCTGCAAGAGCATGTGTTTTTTGGAGGGATTTGATTTGTGTCTCGTGTATAGACTGAAACAACGAATCTAATTGGGCATTTGGGCGTTGCTGAGTTGAATTTCTTCTGTTCTAGGCTTGAGAAAGAATCAGGGTTCTTCTTCAACATGAAGTATTTTGAGGAGAAAGTTCTGGCCGGTGAATGGGACGAAGTTGAGAAGTACTTGTCAGGGTTTACCAAAGCAGACGATAACAGATACTCGATGAAGATATTCTTTGAGATTAGGAAACAGAAGTATCTGGAGGCTCTTGATCGGTACAAATAATTGACATCCACATTTTATACTGTTATACTTCTCTTTTGTGGTTTAGAAGTGCTCATTCGATCACGACTTTTATGTAGGCAAGACAAGGCAAAGGCAGTTGAGATATTGGTGCAGGACTTGAAAGTCTTCTCAACTTTCAATGAGGAACTTTACAAAGAAATCACTCAGCTTCTAACTTTGAACAACTTCAGGTATGAGATACAGGTCTCAAAGGCACTTGTAATCAATTCAATTTTTGACTTTAAGAAATGAGTGTTCTTTCGTTGTTTGGAGGTTGTAGATTTTTTTCAAGCCAGCTCAATAGAAATGTAGAAGATGCTATGTGATTCTACCCTCTCATTTTGTTATCGTCATCATGAATTTGTTATGATAAATGAATTTTAGGTAATGTTTATCTGTTTTACTAATTCATCTCCTGGTTGCTGTTGAATACAGGGAAAATGAGCAGCTTTCCAAGTATGGAGACACTAAAACAGCTCGGGGTATAATGTTGATAGAACTAAAAAAACTTATTGAGGCAAATCCTCTTTTTCGTGATAAACTGGTTTTTCCTACTTTGAGATCTTCAAGACTGCGGACTCTGATCAACCAAAGGTGTGTTACTTCCGTCTTACTTCCAAAGTGGAGTGGCTGGCTTGATTTGCATACCTATTGTTCTTTGGAATTGTTTGTTGGGTGATTCATAGTACAGATGTTTTATTTCAGTCTGAACTGGCAGCACCAATTGTGCAAGAACCCAAGGCCAAATCCAGACATTAAGACTTTGTTCACAGACCACACATGCTCGCCTCCAAACGGTCCTCTTCCACCGTCACCTGTTAATCTTGCTGTTGCTGCTGTAGCAAAGCCAACTGCTTATCCACCGCTTGGAGCTCATGGTGTAAGATATCTATTACTGGTGTATTCATGTTTTTAAATTTATAAATCATCTAATTTCTGAATGATATATATTCTGGTGTTGTTTTTATGTAGCCCTTTCCCCCTGGTACTGCGGCCGCTAATGCCGGTGCCCTAGCTGGTTGGATGGCTAATGCCTCTGGTTCTTCTGCTGTTCAAGCTGCTGTTGTCACCCCTTCATCAATGCCCATTCCTCAGAATCAAAGTAAGAATGCAACAATGTTTTAAATATTCATTTTTTGGATTTAGCATCATTATCTGTTGTAGTTATTTTATGTCAATAGCAACGACCTTTGACTCAAATTACTTCTATTAAAAAAGTTTCAGTCTTGAAGCGACCTAGAACACCCCCAACCACTCCAGGTATAGTAGATTATCAGAGTCCTGATCACGAACTAATGAAACGGCTCCGACCTGCTCCATCTATCGAGGAGGTAATGCGATATCTCCTCTCCTGAAATCTCTGTTTATATAGCTCTTGCATTTTTTTCCCTCAGATTTTTAAACCAGTTTTGGTTTTCAGGTGACCTATCCTGCACCTAGACAGCAAGCTCCATGGTCATTGGAAGACTTGCCGACAAAGGTGGCTTTGTCATTGCACCTAGGATCAGCTGCCACTAGCATGGATTTCCACCCCACACAGCAAACAATACTTCTTGGTATAGGATCTGAAATCTCTAATTAATTGTCTTATTGCACATCCAGTCCTTTGCTCTTCGAATTTTGAATGAGCATTACATTTGATCAGTCGGTTCTGCTTCGGGTGAAATCACGCTATGGGAACTCACTGTCCGAGAGAGGCTGTTGTCGAAGCCGTTCAAGGTCTGGGATATGGCTAATTGTTCATTACCTTTTCAGGTTTGTCTTCACGGCTTGTAATCAGTCATTTTAGTATCTGCTTTTATGATTCTTGACTTCGGTTAAGTGGCTAGTAGAACTGATGCTATAATATGAATACATAAACTAGTGCTGGTGCAAGAAACTTACGTTTGTGGGCCTTGTCAGGCTTCTATGGCTAAAGAAACACCAATTTCTGTCACACGTGTTGCGTGGAGTCCAGATGGCAGTTTTATCGGTCAGTTCACCTACACGAATTACTGGCTTTTTTTGGTTGGTCTACATGTGTTGCCCCTAATTCCATCCTCTTGAGCAGGGGTTGCATTTACAAAACATCTAATTCACCTGTATGCTTACACCGGACCTAATGATCTTCGCCAGCACATTGAGGTGAGCATTTATTTGACCCTTCATTAGCAAAATCGTGGTGCTGTTATTGCCGATAAAATCACACTTTCTTTCTCACAGATTGATGCCCATGGGGGTTCTGTGAATGACTTGGCTTTTGCTCATCCAAACAAACAGCTATGCCTAGTTACTTGTGGAGATGATAAGCTAATCAAGGTGAGATAAGAATCACATAATGATTCCTTGTTAAAATTTTGAAATTTCTTTGTCTAAAAGAATCAATGGGGAGCAGGTATGGGATCTCTCGGGCCGGAAGCATTTTACATTTGAAGGTCATGAGGCTCCTGTTTATTCCATTTGTCCTCATCACAAAGAGAACATTCAGGTGTGTGCCAATTATGTGTTATCATCTATATTTTGCCCTTCAAGCCATTTGAGGGGAACCGCCTAACCACCTATCTCATTAGCAATTTATGACCATTTTCTGGATTTCAGTTCATATTTTCAACGGCTGTAGATGGAAAAATAAAAGCCTGGCTTTATGATAATATGGGTTCCAGAGTTGACTATGATGCTCCAGGTCGCTGGTGTACTACAATGCTTTACAGTGCCGACGGAAGTAGGTAAGATCGCTGAACTATTCTCTTCCGGTCTTTTGGAACCACTTTTGAATTTCGTTCTCGTTTCTCTGTCCTGGTTCATGAAAAACTTCAAATCTGTCCTTGAGATTGAACTAGTGTTTTCCTGAAGTTATCCTTGAGATTCAAGTTTTTTTTTCCTCTTTTGATCTTTGACACTTCATGATGTATAGAAAAATGAGGAATCTACTTGCATTGCATCAATTTAGTTTCTCTCCTTGAGATTCTAGTTGTTATGTTCTTTCTTCAGATTGTTCTCCTGCGGGACGAGTAAAGATGGAGATTCCTTCTTAGTTGAGTGGAATGAAAGTGAAGGAGCAATTAAGAGGACCTATCTTGGGTTTAGGAAAAAGACTGTGGGTATGGTTCAGTTCGACACCACTAAGAACCACTTTCTGGCGGTTGGGGAAGACGGGCAAATTAAGTTCTGGGATATGGACAATACCAATCCTCTAACTAGCACTGATGCTGAGGGTGGACTTCCGGTTAGTCAAACTGATGTTTTTCTCTTGACTTGTCGTCAAGTGTTAGTATTTTTGTGTTTTTATGCTTACTCGTCTTTGATCACTTCAGGCTCTTCCCCGTTTGAGGTTCAACAAGGAAGGAAATCTTCTTGCTGTTACTACAGCGGATAATGGATTTAAGATACTAGCAAATGCAGCTGGGTTCAGATCTCTGAGGGCCGTGGAAGGTCCAACATTTGAAGCATTAAGAACTCCGGTTGGTTCTTCCGCTATAAAAGCTGTAACATTTCGTAGCTTTTCATACTTTTCATCTTGTAAAATCCATGTCTGTTGTCATCATAGTTAACACAATTTGGTTGCTGTGTTAGGTTTCTGGTGCTCCTGTTGTGTCTGCTACTGCTGTCAGTTGTAAAGTTGAACAGGGCTCACCCGCCAGACCTCCTCCTATGCTTGTACATCTTCTCTTTCATCTTTGTTTTACTTTTTTTTTGGTTGAGGCATTATACTCTGTTTTGGATTTCTATCTACGTTTAGATATTACTAATCATGTTCCGTTTTTTTATTTATCAAGAATGGAGTTGATCCTTCAAAGTCGAGAATCGATGATGCAACGGACAAGACCAAACCTTGGCAATTGGCTGAAATCCTTGACCCTGTTCAGTGTCGTCAGATTACTTTGCCTGAGAGCTCAGATTCGTCCACAAAGGTTTGCAAAATTAGCTCTCTCAGATTTCCTCTAATTATGTTTTTTTTTTTTCAAAATGGGTCATAAATTTTCATGTTCCACGAGTATGCAGGTTATTCGGCTTCTTTACACGAATTCTGGAGTTGGAATCTTAGCGCTTGGTTCAAATGGTATTCAGAGGCTCTGGAGATGGCCTCGCAATGAACAGAACCCTAGTGGCAAGGTAAAAATATCTGAGAATTCTGGTGTCGGAATCTTGTCTTGGTCTCAATGCCTAACTGAAAAAAACAAGATGCAATGTCTCGCTGTAATTTATGGTGTGTGTGTGTGTGGTGTGTGAAGGCAACTGCCAATGTGGTTCCTCAACATTGGCAACCAAGCAGTGGTCTTCTCATGGCAAATGACATTTCGGGTGTGAACCTTGAAGAGATGGTTCCCTGCATAGCTCTCTCAAAAAATGACTCATATGTCATGTCGGCTGCAGGAGGGAAGGTTTCATTGTTCAACATGATGACATTCAAGGTACATCATTCATTACCATCATATGAGTTGATCATTATTTTTTCTCAAGACATCCAAAAGCTAAAACCCACTTTTTGCCCATTTAGTCTTTTCTCTATAGCCACAATTAAAAGCCAAAGCTGAAAATGTTTGGATGTTGATGTTGAAACTTCACTTTGGTGGTTCTAAAGAAACCTATGGACTATGGTCCTTGCAGGTGATGACAACTTTCATGGCACCTCCACCAGCATCAACATACTTGGCTTTCCATCCTCAGGATAACAACATCATAGCTATCGGTATGGAGGATTCCACCATTCACATCTACAACGTCCGAGTAGATGAGGTAAATTGACGTACTCTCATGCATATTTAAAGAAGAAAATTCTGAGTTTTCTATATTGTCTGGGGAAGGGCCGGAAGGCTGATGATGGCTTCCTGGTCAAATCCACTAAGTTTAACAAAATGAATTCCATAACTATCAGGGTTCTGATCAAAAGCACGAAACCATTAGTAAATGAGCCAATAACTGGTTTTAATCACTTCTCTTAAAAAGACTGGAAAAATACATGTAAACCTGCTTTTGGGCAGCATTTCTCATAGCTTTACAGGCATTTTTCACGGAATTCCCCTTTGTTGCTTCTAGCTTTCCCCGTTAACATTTTATAGTGCAGTTAAGTCCGAACTAAAGACAAAGCCAACCCAAAATTAACCAAGTCTGACATTTCTGCTAGTTTCCTGCTTGTTATCTCCAAAATCAAGTATAGCCCATAGCATTGTGCATGTTTCGGCAAAAGCCACAGTCCTGTGACCAATGAAAAAGGAAATGGTTATGTTTACACTTTGAATTAATACACTGTGGCTCACTCTACCTGTATTGCGTGTTTCATCAGGTCAAATCTAAACTGAAGGGTCACCAGAAACGTATTTCGGGTTTAGCCTTTTCTACAACCCTGAACATCTTGGTTTCATCTGGTGCAGATGCTCAGGTATGTTATGTTTGTTGTCATCCCAAAAGAAATATTATCCCAACATCCCCAAGAAAATGAAAGACGTAAAGTTTGTCCCAATTTTTGTTGTCCTGCAAGAGAAAAGATATGGGACGCTGAATACTAGGCTAAGAGTGTTTCGGTTGGACTGGAGGCTGGATTTCCGTCTGTTCGACTGTCTAATTTATGATGATTCTTATTGTTTCCGTTGTCTTCTCTAGATATGCTTTTGGAGTATTGACACATGGGAGAAGAAGAAATCCGTTGCGATCCAAATGCCAGCGGGAAAACCACCCACTGGAGATACAAGAGTTCAATTCCATGTCGATCAGATTCGTATCCTTGTGGTCCATGAGACACAACTGGCTATATATGACGCTTCCAAAATGGAACTCATTCGACAGGTATGAGACTGATAATCATAGTAAATGTGATTAGATCATATCATAATAACCGACTAGACTGGTGGTAGTGTATATCTGATCCGAGGAACCCTATTATTCTGAATTGGTTTTGTATTTCCGGTTTCGTCCATTATACTTTTTAAAACTTTGACCCGAGTAGTAATTCGGGTACCAAATTTCAACTTTTCCGATGTTGGCAGTGGATTCCGCAAGAGGGGTTGTCTGCTCCGATATCTTCAGCAGTGTACGCATGCAACAGCCAGTTGATATATGCCGCCTTCCGTGACGGCAACATCGGAGTGTTTGACGCCGACAGTCTCCGTTTAAGATGCCGGATCGCTCCCTCTGCATACTTGTCTCAAGGGTAAAGTTCAAAATCCAACTTCTCTGTCTCGTGTAGCAGTTCGATAGTAGTATCTCGCGGAAAATGAACGTACGAAAAAACCCCTGTTGAATCAGAGCATTTGATTTTAGATCAGAGAAAAAAATGTTTGGGATTTTCTTTGGATTTGAATAAGCTGAAACAGAAAGACTAACTGTGTTAACATGGCTATATGACAGGAGCCAAGGCCTGCCTCCTCTGGTAGTGGCAGCTCACCCGCATGAACCGAACCAGTTAGCAGTGGGTTTAACCGATGGGTCGGTAAAGGTGATAGAACCGACAGAACCAGAGGGCAAATGGGGAATGGTTCCGCCGTCGGAGGCGATGAACAGCAGGACTACGTCATCGTCCACCACCAGCAACCACGCTTCCGAACAGTTACAAAGATAAAGTTATTAACTTTCAATGAAAATCTCACTTTTTTTTTATATATTTGTTTTTTTTTTCAATCTTTTTTCTTCATATGGGTAGTAGTGTTTGGTTGTTGATTGAATAATAATTACTACATCAAGGGTTTAGGCAGCGGTAGTGTTGTAGTCAGCAAATGAATGTCTTTGTACTTTTGTTTGGTTTCAGAATTTAGTGTATTGCCTTTGGATACAGTGACAGATTTTCGTCATGAATTTTATTTATTTTCCATTTTCCTATATTTTCGTTTGGACATTCTCATGTTCCTCGTAGGATCTTTAAAAAGGGAGTCAAAACGCGGCGTTTTGAGTTGTTAGGCTGCATCTCAATACGCACCGTTTCACATGTATCTCCTCTCTCGCGCTCTGTTCGAACCGGTTCCAGACACCCGGAGAAGAAGAATATTGAAAATGGCGAATCGTGCGGATCCTCTTGCGAAGAGCATACGAGGTAGGAATCCTACGAACCTGGTGGATAAGATCGTGCGGCCGAAGATTTACCAGACAACGTTTCTGGAAGGAGCAGTGTTTCGGTCTCACCGCCGAAACTCTGATCGACAAAACCATGGAGATCGACCGCCTCGGCGGTACCTTGGGAGTTAACCGGAGAAGGAGATCGTTGTCGAGTTTATACAAAACGATGGATACAAGTACGAATTTCTCAGATTTCTTCCATCTCGTTTCGTTCGTTTTGATGCGTCCCAAAGGTTTAGTTAGATAAAATTTCTGCGTTTTTGCGCCGGTGTTTGTGATTCTGAGGGGTTTTTCGCTGGAGAGCTAAATTAGGTTGGAAATTTAAGAATTTCTCCAATTGAATCGCTGAGTAGCTTTCTTCCCAGGTTCATGCAGACTGAATTCAATTATGTTTATTTGAGCACAAACCTTTGTATGATTCAGAATTGGATTTCGTGAGCGAAGGACAGCAAGGTTCAAGAGCTGATCTGTCTTGACTGAGATATTTGCTATGCGCAACTGAATTTAGATCTGAGTACATTGTCATTGAATCGTATCCGTTACGTTTCTGGATCCAGTAGCTGGTTAGGGACCATGTTTTACAACAATTTGTGCAGCTATGAACCAATTCTTTTCTCGGTGCATTTTCACCTCCTGTCTGATTGGGACTGATCTTGATTTCTACTGCTACCTCGAGCCTCTCTACAATGATTACCGGAAAACCGAGACTGAAACTGGCTGGTGAACCAGACAAAAAGAGGGAGAAGAAGGAAGATGGAACTGATCCCGAGATCGCCAAGGCTAACAGGATTCGTGATTCTCTTACATTGAAACCGTTGAAGATCTAAGCAAGGGAGGTAAATAAATCTAAACCACTGTGTTTTGCATGATCATTCGTATTATAGATGCCGTCTATTATGCGAAACAGAAGAAACTGAACTATATTACTGACACTGTCTACGCCTCAGGAAGAACAGGAAACTCTCTTTGGTCGGAAGTCATGGCTCTGGGAGGAGAATGCCGTCTCGGTTGTACTGAAGAGTTCCAGACCGGTTCAGCGGCTTGCACTTCCCGCCCATCAGTATCCTCTTCTTGCACAGCTCCTCCTCTTCATTACCGCTCTTGTCTTCTCCTTCTACTTCTTCCCTTACCTTTTCTCTGGTGCTTTCTCCTCCTGTTCTCATTCTCCAGCCTGAGACCAGAATGCTTGATGATACCCTTTTGATTTTTCTTAAGCTTTTTGCCATCTTCGATGGCTTTTGATCTGTTTTCAGGCTGACAATTGCCAGTGTTTGATCAGCTTCAGCACTTTCCGTCTTCCTTGAATCATCTACCTGCGTTTTCTTATGACCCAAGACACTAGAGATCACAGAACTCACCTTCTTGACCGGAAAAAGCTTCCCACGTCCCTTCTTCCTCATCTTATTGTTCACGTTCCTATCTCCGTTCTCGACGTCCTGTTTCTGCGTCTTGCATGCTTTCTTCAACGATATCTTTGGTATGTTGATCCTGATCTTCCCTTGTTCCATCGAAACCCTGAATTTGTTCGAACCCTTTGTCTCACAGGTGATGTTGGGACGATAGTTAGGGTTTGGAGGTTGTGGTAACAAATCCGCCATCGGTGGTGTCGTGAAACTTGGGTCTGAGGAAAGTGGGTCTCGGAGTCTTATGGGAGACTGGAAAACGTGAGCCGAGTAGACTTCTGCTAGTGGTAGTGGACGAACTGCTTCCAAGATGACGTGGCTGAGATCGTGCGTATGTTTTAATTTCCACGTGGATAATATTCACCAGCAACTCTTGCAGGATTTTTCTTTTTGGCCTTTTGATAAATTTCAATCTTCCAATAGATAAAGGCGAAAAATATTTAAAAGAAAATAACCTATAGGAAAAATCAAAAACAGAATAAAGGTACCTAATTTAAAAATTTAATGAAAAATGTGTAAAAATATTTTTTTTGCGGGATTGAAAAAATAATTTAAAAGCCCAATAGGAAAACAAAAAGGACGGGAGAAGATTTTGTATTAGGCAAAGCCCATATGACGAAAACATAATTTAAAAGCCCAATGGGCCACATTAAATCTGGATACTGAACCGGGTCGACCCGGTTCGGGTGCAAAAACCCTCCCTCTCCCCCTGGCTCTCCCATCCATTTCAGAAGCTTCGGGCCAACCAAAAAAAAAAAGTGATCGTAGATTTTTGTTGCTATCGCGTTCTTTTGATCGAATCGTTCTTGAAGATGAACTCTCTTGCAGTCCGATTCTCCAGGCTTCTCAGGAGTTCTCCTACTTCTCCTTTAGGTTTCTCTCTAATTTTTTCGTTTCGAGTTTTTGCGTTTTCTAATTCATCCTTTTGTCCGGGAAAATTTTACCAATTTCCCTGGAATTTTTTCCCCTTCTATGTCCCTTTTGTTTCTGTTTGTTCGTTTTCACGTATTTCTTTCAAGGAATATGCATTTCTGACGAATTTCTCGGTTTCGGTTCATTTCAGAAGAATCTAAAGTATATATTCTTCGTTTTCCTGGAGAAAATCTTATGAGATACCAAATTGACATTTGCTTTTCGCTGTTTTGACATGATTAGTTGTGAGTGCTGAAAGAAGCGCGAGGTCGTGGTTTTCGAGTGGTTCGATAGATGAAGAGCTTGTGGACGAAGAGTTCGAACAAAGCCTTCCTGAAAGACCTGAGCTTAAACCCCAAGGAGTTGATCCCCATAAAGGCTGGGGGTTTCGCGGTGTTCATAGGGTAATGTCATGTTCAATAACAGTTGTCAATCTTTCGGTTGCATTAATGGAGGAAAAGTTGATTTTTGCATTGAATCCGACATATTCAACTTGTTGGGTAGCATAGATGTTGTGAGAACGATCGGAGGTACTCCATGATTTTCTTCTCTTGTTTGGTTGCTGAGAAAATTGGACTGAAAAGAAAGAAAGGGCATATGCCTTGTTTACTAGATAATTTATGTGACCCGAATTGTCGGATTGACATGTGAATTGTGAGGCAGAGTTTACTTGATGAAGATTAGGCACTTCATGGCTCTGTAGCCTCGGCGGTGATGGAAGAATGTCGTTCGGATGTATACACTTGGATGCATTTTGCCGAATTCTCTGCTTGTTCATCTTTCTTGCTCATTATAGCGCTTTTTTTTTTTTTTTTGCAACTTCAGCTTCTTAAAACCATGTTTCCATGGATTTTCCCAATTCTCTGATTGTTCATCCTCTCTGTCATGCAAACAGGCAATCATTTGCGGGAAAGTAGGCCAAGCCCCACTGCAGAAAATCCTGAGGAATGGGCGAACAGTCACAATCTTCACGGTAGGGACTGGTGGCATGTTTGATCAGAGGCTGGTGAATACAAGCAATCAGCCAAGACCGGCTCAGTGGCACCGGATTGCAGTCCACAATGAAGCTCTTGGCTCTTACGCTGTTCAGAAACTCGCCAAAAAGTATTTAACATGTTAAAAGTTATCTGAAATGAAACCAGAGGTAGCTGTCTCGTTTTCTCGCTAATCTTCAATGGTGCTTTTGAATCTTTGATGCAGTTCTTCGGTATATGTTGAAGGCGATATCGAGACCAGAGTGTACAATGATAGCATTAGCAGTGAGGTGAAGAGTATTCCAGAGATTTGTGTTCGCCACGACGGTGCTTATCTCCTTTCGCAACATCGGTTTACGATAGTTCTTACTGAAGTAGGTCGATTCACATGATTCATCGTCGTTTTGCAGGGAGAATTCGGATGATTAAACACGGGGCAAGCATGAACAAAATCTCTTTCGACGAACTGAGTAAGTTTTATCATTTCCCTGACTCGTTTGGTTCGGCCAATCATGTATCTTTTTGAGAAGTCGCTCTTCTGAATTGTAACTTCTAATCTTGGCAAATTTCACAGAGGATGGATTGTTTTAGTCGCCATTGCCGAAGAGCATAAGGAACACAAGAAAGAATCTGCTGTTTCCTTGAAGGGTGAGAGGACAATGACTTGTTTTGGTATGATGATATTCCGGTTTTTCAAACCGATCAAATTCGATTTTCAGACCGGTTCGGTTAAGACTTCGGTTTATTTATGTAGGTGTATAGTATATCCACTGCGTCTTTATGGGCCAAAGCAGCGGCCTGTGTAGCCCAATGGGCTGGCTTGTTTTAGTTTTTTGTTTCACTTGCTCATTTGTTAAGTAACTAATTCTCTTCTAAAAGATTGGAGGGCCCAATAACTTGATCCATTGTCATCTATTGCCGTTTGCGATTTGGAAGAAAAAACGCGGTCCGAACCAAGGAATCCCTTATATATGATGCTGGAATCAAAGAAAGGTTAACCGTCCGATCCCCGACGTACGGTGTGCTCCTCCGCAGGAAATAGCTACCTCACAGTAAGAAAACTCAAGAAAAGGCCCACTACAGGAGCTGCTGGTAAGGGGTATTATCGTCATTTCGTTGCAAGAAGATGTAACAACAAAACTAAAACGTTTTCGTAATAGTTTAATTTATAAACTAAACCTGATTTTGGCGAAATTTCCTCTGCCTCATCTATTTATATTTTATATATTTTTCTTCTTTGACCTCTCGAATCCTCGAGGAAAAGTTTGGGCTGACGGCTCTGTATGGCCCGTAAAACTGCATGTCGTTTATTTCCTCAGTACCCGCCATGTATTTTCCCTCTGGTAAACGTTAGCCGGCCGCATACGTGGCTCACTTTTATTGGTAATTCGAACCTAAGATACACTCAGAAGCAGGGGATCTTGTCAGATCAAACGTATTTTACGTTTTTTTTTTCCTTTTTCTTACAAGCTTTTTAAGATTTAATTGATTCAATTTAAATTTTGTGGAAAACCAGTGCAAAATCTTAGTTCGTACGGAGTAGTTGCATTGTTTCCCGTTGAAGGATTTCGATCTCGCCGGCGATCGGTCGGCTTCCGATCGCTCTGATCGCTGCGAATATCCTCCGGCCTCTTGGTCAATGATGAAACAACGATCGCGTCCAGATCTGTAGCTGCCGGATCCGTAGTCGAAGCTTATATCTTGTTCTTCTCAATTTGGATGCAAGATTGAGACTTCTAGGGTTTCTGTTCGGTTATCATGGCGATGAGGAACCGTACGCTGCTGTTCAGGAAGTACAGGGATTCTCTGAGGAGCGTCCGTACGCCGGTGGGGTCGTTTTCGTCGTCGACAGCGACGGAGAAATCGTTGACGGGAAAGCGATCCGGTGTAGGTCCCGTGATCGAGATGGCGAGTACATCTCTGCTGAATCCGAATCGCTCCTATGCTCCTGTTAGTACCGAAGATCCTGGGAATTCCAGGTACTTCTCTCCGTCTCTCTCCCTCCCTCCTTCCGGTTAAATGCTTTTAGCTTGGAGATTGTAGAAGAAGTTTATGACTTTGGGTTGCTGATCTATATAGTTAACTTATGTTAGCTGATGAATGTGAGTTGCAAAATTGGCGCGAGGGCCAGAAAATGTGGATCTTTCAGCTGAATTATCTCTTTTTTTTTTATAAAAGAATTATCTCTGAGTTGGTGGTTAACATTAATAGAATCGACAATACCGATTCAGCTTGCTGGAGGATCATGGGGCCTGTTCAGTTTTGCTTTTCAAGGATAAGTCTTGAAATGATCTTTTGTTTATACCTGTAGTTTTTGAGTATATGATCTTTCAGCAGTTTGTGGGAAGTCTGTGGATATAATTATGTCCATCACATTTACAGAATTCAGATGCCCAAGAAGCAGCTTAGCTGAAGAGCGTTGATGCGTTTTAGCTCAGCGGTCGAACTTTTATTTAACGAGTACAAGGATTGCAGGACTAGGTCATTCTTTGGACATGCATTTGAAGTTAACTCATGTTGTCTATTTGGTAAGCTGAAACTCTTTGTTTTCCCCTTCGTGTCTCAGCAGAGGTGCACTCACAGTGGGCTTACCGCCAGCATGGGTTGATGTCTCTGAGGAGATTTCCGTAAACATACAGCGTGCAAGGACAAAAATGGTGGAGTTGGGGAAGGCTCATGCCAAGGCATTGATGCCTTCTTTTGGGGACGGTAAAGAAGATCAACATAAAATTGAGTCTTTGACACAAGAGTTAACTAATCTTTTGAGGAAATCGGAGAAGCAGCTACAGAGGCTTTCTGCAGCTGGACCTTCTGAAGATTCAAATGTCAGAAAAAACGTGCAGGTAGAACTTGACTAGACTGCCAGTCATCATCTTTTTCTTCAATACATCTTTCTTCTTGGAATAATTGTTTTAGTCAGCTAATCCTATGTATGTTATAACAGCGATCTCTTGCTACCGATCTTCAAAATCTTTCTATGGAGTTCCGAAAGAAACAGTCTACATATTTGAAACGCTTGAGACAACAAAAGGAGGTAAAGAATTATTCCCTCTTTCCAGCTTAAACTATATTATGATTCCGGTAATTGTATATTCTGGGACCTTCACTACTTCTGTGATGTTTTAGTTGTTTGTGTTTGAACTTCTGCCGGTTTTCTGTTGTCGCGTACTAATCAAAACTGTAAACAAGAACTTTATAGATTATTGTGTTTGTTAAATTGCGAATCTTATAAAAAAAATGATGCATTAATTATGGTGTTATTTCTAGGATGGGGTGGATTTAGAGATGAATCTGAACGGAAGCAGATCGAGAGCAGAAGATTATGACTTTGACGATATGGTTTGTCTCTCCCATATGGGGTTTCATTATACCTTAGTATCACCAATCTCCCTTTGATGTAATCGTTGTTATAATGTTATCCATGGTATATCAGTTATTTAACGAGCATCAAATGGCGAAGATAAAAAAGAGTGAGGAATTCTCAGTAGAGAGGGAGAAAGAGATCCAACAGGCTAGTACTTACTCTTTGTTTATATTCTTTCCCATCGATCATCAGCATTTATTCTTTTGCAATCATAATGGTGTTTCTTTATCTTCTTCCTGCGACATCTATAGGTTGTAGAATCAGTTAATGAGCTTGCCCAGATAATGAAGGATCTTTCTATACTGGTGATAGACCAGGTAACACTATAAAGCTTCATCTTCTCTCCGTCTAGCTTCTGAATCACCTCTGCTGACAAATTCACTTGACGTAACACTCTTCTTGTGGCAGGGCACGATAGTTGACCGGATAGATCATAACATCCAAAATGTCGCTAGCACAGTTGAGGACGGCCTCAAACAGCTCGAAAAGGTAATCTTATAACCAGTGTATTCTAAACATCCATGACAAAAAAATTTATTTTATGCTAGCTAATGTCTACATGTTTGATGAACTTGACAGGCAGAACGTACACAGAAACAAGGAGGGATGGTGATGTGCGCAACTGTGCTTGTCATCCTCTGCTCCATCATGTTGGTTCTCTTAATCATCAAGGAGATATTATTCTGATCGAACAACTTATCATTTGTGGGCTTAGACGCCTTTCCAGCGATTATTTCACACGTGAAGAGAATTGTTCATCACCCTGTACTCGCAGAAGGCAGAAGTTTTCGACACAATGCTCCGGTTTCATCAATAAAAGAAAAGTATGGTCCATCATTCTTTGATTCTTTATACCCAAAAGCTGCACTTTTTTCATTTTGTTTCCTTCTCTTGTCTGTATTGAGGACGCTAATCCACCATTGTCTGAAAGAAACCACATGTTGTTCAGGTGCTTTGCTTTAGCTGCACTTCTGTTGAAAGTCCTTTGTATCCAAAAGATAAAAATATCTTAATTTTATGTAGAGCAAACATATCACTGCTGTATTGAATATTATTGATTCGGGAAATGAAATTACAATTCTGATATACCTTTTTTCTTTCCCTGGACCTATGCCTGAATATGGCTACATTAGATTGTTTGTTATCAATGGTTTATAAATTATGATAAATAATTGTTATGTAACTGAGATCTTTTGCAGAGTACATTTTTTTTTGTACACAACAATAAGAGTCAGCAATGCCTTTTGAAGGGTATGTTCAGGCCTTCTTCTTCTTCGAGTTCCCAATGTCTGAAGCTCTGAAGGAGCGCAGGACAATGTCGGGCAGTGACAACTTCAGATCGAAGGTGAGTCTCTGGAAAACCAGAGATAGAAGTCTCACATCAGACATGGCTCTGTGAGCCGAACCGATCTTAGGAAGGTTGTAGTATTGCCCTAGTGCTTGTAATGACAGTCCTGACTGAGCTTTGGTCCCTGCAAAAGAGAACCCATTGTCAGTTTACCGTTAACTAAACTGAACCAGACCAGTATACCAAGTTCCAAAAAACGAAAACCGGTTTGAAGAGCAAAGCAGAGAACCAAAACAATCAGTCTTCATTGGTCTGCTTTGTATAAGCTAAACCGACAAACCAAATACCAAACACCCGAGACCAAATACCTAAAACTGGAAAGTGGAAACCTCTCTGCAACACTTACCGAGTTTTGCAGGAAAAGAAGTAGAAGAAAACAGAGGAAATTACCTAAAGACTTCATCTTCTCGCGGCTAAGAGGAAGGGAGTCGAGAAAGAGCCAATTTGGAGGAATTTGATAAGAGCAACGGTTGAACTCGTTGATCAAGAATGGGAAATCAAAAGTGCGACCATTATGTGCCACAAACAATACATAACCTTCAGGCTTGTGTCTGCTTCTTACATACTGCAGGAGTATTGGTATCAGTTCTTCCATCCTACAAACAGGAAACTACAGTTAATGTCGGTCCATATAGTTGGATATTTGATCAGAAAAAGCACTGTCTGATGCTGTTAAGAAATGGATATATATACCTAGGAACTTCGGGTCTTCGAACCATATGGTCCATGATTCCATGGATGTGGGAATTTGGTATACAACGACCCGGGTTGATCAATGTCTGAAATGTGCTGTTCTCACCTCCCGCAAGATCCTGACACGCAAATTCAATGATCCGCTCGTTTACTCTGCTGAGGCCTGTTGTCTCGATATCACAAACAATTACGGTTAGTAGACTGGACAGATTCTTGGATTCAGCAAGCCGCTCCTGAACGTTGCTGCTATACAGCGGTAACTTCTGGACCTCGCTCCAAACCTCGGTCCTCTCTACGTCTATAACAGCATTTGTTGGAACCGATTCACCCGAGATTCCACTACCGTTCTTTGTGTTGTTTCTGCCTTCAATGTTTGTACTAACGTTTCGTCTGACCCATCTCTTTCTTCCATCAACTGCAGAAGCTCTGAAGTCGAGCAGCTTCGGGCTGGAACTTTTCCAGAGAGTACTGCGCCAGCCATGGACGTTTCCCCAGCAAGAACCCGCTAAAAAATGGATCCTGAATCTGGAAACTTGCGAGATTGAAATGCACATCGGGTTTTTTCCCCAGATAATCCCAGGAATCACTGAGGAAGAATCGCTGTCAATGAAGGAGAAAGCCTGACCTGAAGATCCATGAAATAAAGGCCAATCTTTGATAAGAGATGAATGTATTATTAGCATAATGTTATCACAGATCTAAAATCTCATTTGCATACATGGATCCCTTATTACCCATTAAATATGCCCTTAGGACGAAATAGAAAGCCTTTAACTTTCAGAGAAATTTTGGATTTTCTTTGGATCTCTAAGAAATTAAGAGCTGAAGAGTTGGATGCAGGAAGAAGGAATCAAATGGTAAAAAACCCGACTCATAGAGTACATGTTTTCCTTCGTTTTCTCAGGATCCAAACAAGGTGGGGAGGAAGAAAAAGAGAAGAATCAAAATGACGAGAGACGCGATTGTTCGGATCCAAAAGCATGATTTAGATTCACTTGAATGAATCAAATCTGGAAAAATAGTGTAATGTTTCTTTCGATCGAACCCAACCCGACACACGGCAGAGACCTCTGGGCAAAAACTTTAATCTGTTTCAGCTTTTCTGCATAGAATAAAGAAGAAGGGATCGCAAGTAAAATCAATTTGTTGGTATCTTTTCAATTCACCACGGAGGAGCAAAAAAGCACGTATTTTCCTTCATTTTCTCGGCATCCAAACAGGTTTCCTTTAGGGCCAGTAGAAAGATAATAAATTTCCGTCGAGAATTTGAAATTTTCTGGCCAGTTTCTCTTCAGCTATACACATAAAATAGTGGCAGCAAAAGCAGGAATTGAACATCAAATTTTGATGATATCTTATCCGTTAAATCGTCACTCTCGAGGAAAAACGGATTTTCTCAGCATCCAAACAAGGCGAAGGGAGAAGACGTGACCTTTGTAACCCAAACCATAATATCAATCAAATCCGAGAAACTTATCTTCTCGATACCGAATTAAAAAAGCCAAAAACCTTCGAGAATAAATTTGAATCTTGTTTTCCTATGTTCGCCATCGAGGAAGTAGAAAAGCGCTTATTTTTCCTTCATTTTCTCGGCATCCAAACAGGCGAAGTTAATACAAAAAGGAAGAGAAACTCACCTGTCGTGATTCAAACCCAGAGCGAAACTGCATTTGTCCGAAAATGAAGCTTCTGAATCAACTGTTTATACAGAAATAATTCACAGAGAGAGAGAGAGAGAGAGGGGGAGAGATGATAGAGAAATGGAAGGTGAATTATACCGTTCGCGTGTGCGAGAGTGGGAGGGAGAGGACCCGTCAAATACGGATCTATGACCCGATCCGACAAATTCGGATCTCAGATCCGGACCGTATTAGAATCCGACATGCTTTCCAAGTACGGCAAATTTTCTTTTTTTTTTTGTGTGTTTAATAATAATAATAATAATAATATCCAAATGAGGATTTTTCAAATCCAAGAAAAGACATCCCTACAAGTCACTGCTTCAGTTGCGTATTTAATCTCTTTGGTTCATAAAGAAAACGCTACCTTTGAATTTGTTTTTGTTCTATTTTTATTTATTTTATCAACTAACAAACAAAAAACAAGTTATAAACCGAACCGTCAATGAAGCCGTTCTATACTTACTAAGCATTATATTTTATTCTAAAAAAATAATAATAATTAACGATCTTTGTAATGAAAGAGAGAATCGGACCAAATCTACAATGGCACGTGATGTCTATGCCTTGCTTTAACCAGAAACAGAAAGCCACACGCGCCCATATGGAGAACATGGACACGTCGACCACCTTCTTTATGGGCCCGTAGGATTATCGGCCCAATATCAAAGTTCTACAGCCCAGATAGGCCCAATTCAAGCCCAAAGAACAATGGGAGAAACTTTAATATGGATCTACGAAGGAGATGGAGTGAGATGGCATGCAATAACATTTAGATCATAATAATTAAGAGTTTTAAAATTTTAGACCGTCCAGTCAAAAGAACTCCAAATATCATTTCTATATTTAGTTTTTTTTTCGTTATAACAAAAAAAAATGTTCCTCAGTGTTTTTCCACCGCTAATTACTTCCGAAACACATGGATTAACGATAAATCCCAACAAAGCGAATATATTTCCTTGGAATAACTTTTTTTAAAAAAAAAGGAGCTCCCAACAAAAACGAAAAAGAGGAGAGGAAGTTGGAGAGAGGGGGAAGACAGAATGGAGGGAAATCGATCTCCTCCGACACGATCGTACAAATCGTACGAAGGAGATCGAAACCTCGAACTAGTTGACCCCAAAGCCCTCAAACCCGTACGAGGAATCTACGTCGTCAGAGAATCCATCAAGTCACGGTCTCAACCGTCGAACTCCAACACTTGGCAGAAGATCTCGTACAAACAGCCGTCGTCTCTATCTTCTATTAAACAAAAGAGATCTTCCCATTCGACCTCCATAAAAGGTGAGCTTGTTCGTCAATGGTTATAGTAAGATATGTCACGTGCGTACATTATTCATATATTTATCTTTACGTTCACGTTGACTCGGTTTAGGCCGGCCGGTTTTTTGATCGGTTTGATCCGGTTTAGTGATCGAGATGTTTGTGTGGAATGAATGAAGGGTGGTGGAATGATCCGGAGGCGAAGAGGAAGAGACGTGTGGCGAAGTATAAGTTTTATTCGGCGGAGGGGAAAGTGAAGACGACGTTGAAAAGAGGGTACCGGTGGATCAAGAACCAATGTTCCAAGATTATCCATTCAATATAGAATCCTCCACATAGCAAAAAAAAAAAAAAAAAAAGAGGAAAAGGGTATGATTTTAATTAAAATGTAAAGAACAAATAAAAATTAACAAGTGTATTCTTTTTTTTAAAAAAATCCATTGTGTATTTTTTTTATTATGTGTTTGACTCACTTTTACAAATATTTTATGGTCTGAACAACAACTTGCATAAATCCGAGCCAAAAATGTGTCACGATAACAAGTTTGTATTATTATAACTATGTACAGATTTAAAATACAAAAAAAAAACGAAATCTACTCCAAATAGAATTATCAAAATGATGAGAATATTATTAGTTCCGAAAAAAATGACTTCAATAACTAAGAAACAATAATCTTGATAACATTTTTTTAGATTCCCTTCTTGTAAGTTGTAACTCGTACTCAAACGTAAAAGGAATTACATGACACAAACAATAACCATAATTTTTTTTATTGATATTTATATTTTATATAGAGATGTATACGTATAGATGTAGTCCGTTAAAAGTCTTTGATTTTATATTTTTTTTTAAGTACATTCGATTTACAAAAAAATCTTGCATTTTGTTAAACAAAAAGAAAAAAATATTTTAGCAACATCTCTTTTTACTATTGATTTAAATTATAAATGGGCTTATGAAATTCCGACACAGGAAAAGTTGGGCTTATGAAATTTCGAGAAATGAATTGGGCTGAAAAGCCCATTAATGGGATAAACGAATGCAAAATGATTAGCGAAACGGCGGATGATTTCGCTTAGGTTTTGTATTGCGCGGGAAACTGGAAATCCCACTGAATTTCGGATTCCGTCGAAGGACTCGTGAGTCGGGAACTCCGTTGCCCAAGTTGGTTACTCATCCTGGAAGATGAATGATCAGGAGCTTGAATTAGAGAAAGCTCGATTGCTGAGCCTAGCGATCAAAGTCGGATTCGATGAAGAATCGGCCAAGAAATGCTTGGATCGTTTCGTCGCGCTTTACGGTACGCAAAAAAAAAAAAAAAAGGCGATACGACTCGGAATCGAACCCGATTCTGTGGAAAATCTTCTTCATTACCCGTTTTAATCGTCTGGCATCGGAAATTTCTGGAATCTGGCCGTTTTACGAAAGGGATCGTTTCTGTTTTTCAACTTTAGGACATTTTAGATGACTACTTTGGACTTTGGTTGTATTAACGAATCAGGTTTGTTTTACAAGCTAGGAGATCAATTGGCGTTGTTTCAAGTACTATCCTAGTTACAGACTTGCTGTCGAGTTTATACGGTTAGGGTCTGAATCTTTGTTTTGTTTTTTAACCGATGAACAAAACTTCACTTTCGAGCTTCGAATTTCATTCGTTTATTTGATGAAAAAACTGCCCCTGAAGTTTGATCCAAGTGGGTGCTTGTGTATGAATTATCAAATTCTGGTCGTAACGCTGTTAATGTTCTTTCCTTTTTTTTTCTCGATCTGAAAAGTTTCTAAAATTGTTTAAGGTGACGATGGTCGGGATTTCATCACTGTGGAACACTGTGGCGATGATTTTCTTGCTGCGTTGGCTGATTCAGTCAAAGAAACTGAGGAATGGGATGATTTACAAGCCATGGAATCTGAAGCTCGTGGAACATTGGCTGAGATGTTTGATAAATCTGTTCCAAGTGATAACGAATCTGAGAATGAGGACGATGATTTGACAAGTCAAGTTCACGTGATAGAGGATTCACCAGAGCCTAAGAGACGCACAGAATTCATGGAATTGTATTCTTCTAGTGACGTTGAAGAAGACAATAAACGCTTTAGTAAAGCTCCAAAGAGAACGGAATCATGTTCCATAAAGCACACCTCTAGATCCACCGTGAGTTTTTTTTGTTGGCAACGACTCACTTTGGATTCTGAATATTGGCTGAAACTTGATCTGAATGTTAGGAATGCTATTTGTCTCTTCAAGTGTTGAATAGGTTCCTCAAAATCAATTGGTGGATTCTTCTTGAACTGTAACTTATGATTCACCCTGATACACGAGGTACATGGTGAAACATCACAATTTAAAACTTTTTCCTGATCCCATGGTTTTTCTATGGGGGGGGGGGGGGGGATGTTTTTGTTCGCAAAGACTGTAATTAAATTCATTTATATTTGGTAATCTAGAACAAGTCTAAAATTAAGCAGTGAGACTGTTCTGGACTGGCTATCCATTCTGGTACGTTTTCTGCCTCTTCACATCTTGAACAGTGTCCCTGACCCCGGCGTCTTTTGAACCAAAACTTATTTTTCTGACACTAATCTGACACATGTCTACCGTTTATTTACGAAATTACGAATGGCAGTAAGGAAGCATTAACAATACAAAATACACTGCGGAATGCTGGTGGAATTACTTTTACATTTGTATGCTAACCTTAGTTGGAGCCTTTGTTTCACCTAAATGTGATGTGGTGTACTTTGAAGGACTCTGCCATGGAAGGTTCTGTTTTATCAGTTTCAAGGAGAAAGCAGTCTTCTCAGATACCAAATGAAGATCACGAGTTTCCGAGTTTCGAAGAGTTACAGGCATTGGATGATCTGGATTTTGCAAACTTAGTGATTTTTGGTAATAAGGCATTTCGGCCACTGCAGCGTCAAGCATGTAGAGCGTCACTGGTAAAGAATGATTGCTTTGTTCTGATGCCGACTGGAGGGGGCAAAAGCCTTTGTTACCAGGTGATGATCCTTACCCTCTGAATCTGTTCCAGATCACATTAGACTTAATCCGAAACTCTAACCAACAGCAATTGTAATATAACTGCATTTACAATCACTGGCCAACTGTAGTACTAAGAGCAGCTTACATTTATATAGATATTGCTTATTTATCTTGCTCCTTGGTTGCATATAGCCGCTGAACCCCTCATTCTTTCATAACAGCTTCCTGCGACACTGAAAGCTGGTGTTACTGTGGTTGTATCTCCTCTATTGTCCCTCATCCAGGATCAGATCATTACACTGAACCTCAAATTTGGAATACCAGCGACTTTTCTCAACTCTCAGCAAACATCTTCCCAAGCAGCAAACATAACACAAGAGCTAAGGTAAAGATCCACCTGTCATATACTGGAACAAATGAAAGAATTAAAGGAAAATGTTTTCCTAAACTCGAGAAAGTGTTGCATTGGTCCCTATTGGATGACATGATTCCAAACAATATCTATGTTTCTTCCATTGTCAATGTCATAACATGCACATATATCAGTATGCCATTAATCTCTTTTCACGTTGGAGATTAAGTCATCTAAGTACTTTGGTGAGCTTTTTCAGGACTGTCACATGTTTCTTTTCACTTCCAATATATTTCTACATTGTCATTTTGCTTGCAGAAGAGATAAGCCGTCATGTAAACTCTTATACGTCACACCTGAGAGAATTGCTGGAAATTCGTACTTTATGGAGACACTGAGGTGTTTGCATTGCAAGGTAATTTTTCTAGCTTTTTTGCATGATTGATAGCATGTACATTCAACCTGTATAAAAACACTAAACTCTTGTGTTGATTAGTAACAGGGTCTACTGGCAGGTTTTGTGGTCGATGAGGCTCATTGTGTGAGGTACAGTTTTGTGGCTTCAAGCATTGTTTTAGACGCATGCCTGCACCATAGTCTGTGATCCACATGAACATTCTGTGACTGTTTGTAATATATTTGTTCCCTCTGACTTACCTCGTTGCAAGACTCGATTTCTTGCTGGAACCAACAAAAATTTGCCCGAATGTACCCAATAATTCTCACAATATTCCCTTGAAGTCCAAAAGAAATCCTCCAAATAATCTTATTCAACCATCCTGATGTACCGAAATACAGTAATTTTATACTTCATTTTCTGCTTATGCCCATACAGTAAAAATTGGGTTATGATTTTGGACCGATTTGATGTTGGCTTTGCTAAGCATCTTAGTGTTTAGACGTTGTAGTGTTTTGGTATTGGTGTAGTTAAAATCAATATCATATATTTTTTGTCACATGAACTGCAACTGACAAAAACTGTATTGTTTTGCTCTACAGTCAATGGGGACATGACTTTCGGCCAGACTACAGGGAACTTGGGTGTCTAAAGCAGAACTTTCCGGATGTTCCCGTGACGGCTTTGACAGCCACTGCAACTGAACCAGTCTGTCAGGTAATGAGCATCACCTAAGAATCTACGATTAGGTTTTCTTTTTGAACAATCTAAACATGTTTACAATAAACCAAATAAGCAATTAGATTAGACGACGTGCAAACGTCTGAAAGATATGCCTTCAGGTTACTCTCAATCAATAAAGGGTTGTAGCCTTGTAGGAACAAAAACCTACATTTTCTTCTTAAATTCCTCTTAATATGATTTAGTCCCTAAACCCACTATGCTCTGAGAGCTCTGAGAATCCCCAAATCTTCAGTTAGATTGAGCTCATATAGACAATCGAAGTTAATTTGATTCCTTTTTCTTTCACAACAGGACATACTAAGAACTCTCCGAATCCCCAGGGCGCTGGTTCTTAAGATGAGCTTTGACAGACCTAACTTGACATATGAGGTGATTGGCAAGACCAAGGAACCCCTGAAACAGCTAGGAGAACTGCTCAAGGACCGGTTCAAAAATCAGTGCGGGATCGTCTACTGTCTCTCGAAGAGTGAATGCGTCGACGTTTCAAAGTTCCTTAATGAGAAATGCAAGGTGAAGGCAGTGTATTACCATGCCGGTTTGGCGGCGAAACAGAGAGTTGACGTTCAGAAGAAATGGCACTCAGGGGAGGTCCAGATTGTGTGCGCCACCATTGCGTTTGGGATGGGAATAGACAAAGCAAACGTCGTAAGTAAAAGCCTCTACTTGGCTAAAACATCGACCCATAGAACCGAGCTACCATATATCTGATACTCGATTCATTTGCTTTCTCTTGTCTTCATCGGTTCGGATCAGCGTTTTGTTGTGCACAACACGATGTCAAAATCGATAGAGAGCTACTACCAAGAGTCTGGAAGAGCAGGGAGGGACAACGCTCCCGCCGAGTGCGTTTGCTTGTACCAGAAGAAAGATTTCAGCAGAGTGGTTTGCATGTTGCGTAACGGGCAAGGCAGAAACATGGAGAGGTTCAAGTTGGCAATGGCCCAGGCCAAGAAGATGCAGCACTACTGTGAGCTCAAGGTGACCTTACACGCAATTCCTCCCCTCTAAATACAAATTCACCAGCATATATATATATATTTGGTTATATGTATTATGCATATTTTGGAAATTATGATCAAGAATAATTGATCTCAACTCTCTTTAACTTTTATTTTTATTTTATTTTACAGGCTGAATGCAGAAGACAAATGTTGCTGGAATATTTTGGAGAGAGCTTTGATCGGAACATGTGTAGAAATGGTTCGAGCCCATGTGATAACTGTATGAAGAGCTCCTGTCAATGATTTCATGGAAAACCAAACAGAAAGCTACATCATGTCATTGTGGGATATGAATGAATATATATATATATATATATGCAAGCGTGTGTCTGTGTGTGTGTGTATAATATGGGAAAAATCAAGTATTGTGGACAAAGCTACACCTGAATTCATGGACATTCTTGTGGGCAGAAGTTGCCGGCAAGAGAGGACAAACGACAGGACACGTTCGGCTTGTCATTACTTAAAAATATTATTCTATCCTCAAATTTCAATTAGCATATGATGGACTTAGATTCTCTTTAATTTTTTTTTTTTGTTTTCAATCTTCTCATATTATCGTTGTTGTTTGATTGATGGATTTTCTTTTTCATTTATTATAATAAGGGGTAATTTTCTTTTTCATTTATTATAATAAGGGCAGGAATGTTGGATGGAATGGTTGGACTTATTGGATTACGCTAATTAAAAAATGGACCCACCCGATGAAATATTTATAATGAGGACAATACAATATCTAAAAACGTGATGCGTAATTTGTATTTTTCGTGTTTACACGAATTCGTTATTAATAATTATTAATTAACCAAACCAAAAGTCAAGGAAATCTTGTTTAGAAGATCTCCCCTAAGATTTTATTTTTTGGGTTACTTTGCGTTATTGGTTTTTCCATATTCCATCAAAGATGGTAAAACATGTGTTGCGATTATATACAAACAAATTGTATGTATGGAATTTTTTTTTGGTCTTTGATATAAAATGATAATAAATTAATTAGTAAACCAAAAGCGCGTGAGGCATTGTGCATTAATTGTGAAAGGTACATTTGTTGGAGTTCGTATGTACACCACTTTTAGACAGATGTACAGTCGTATATGTATTCTTACTTAGGACCGAAGATAGTAATATATTTCATAGGGAATGTGGCATTGGAGTGTTTTGAATTATAAAATTATAAAATGGGGTTTGCATTATATTTATATAATACCGATGGAACTTTATATTAAAATATATTTCAATTGGATTTTAAAGCTATAAGAAAGTGGAGTCCAATAACCTATTTTTGTGGTTCCCAATATTAATGGCTCAGTAAAATGAGTATGCATCGCCAATAGACTCTCTATGCTGTTTACTACAAAAGTTGATGCCCCAAGAAAATAACACAAAACATAACTAGAAATTCGGTCTTCAAAATTTTCAATTTTAGTGTATTTTGTTAGTTATTTAAATTTGGTTTTAATTCGGCTTTATTTTTAAAAATTATATGTCTAATTTATTTTTAATTCATTTTTCACTTATCCTATTAAATCAGATTTAATTTTCATATAATTGAATGTTATTTAATTTGATTAGATTAAGATTTTTTTATTGAATGAGAGTTTTAAAATTGTTTCATACATAAATATAATATTTAAAACATAAATGGTTAGTTTTTTTTAATGCAATGATGTGCAATATAGATTACATATCTTATTTTCTAATACGTGACCGAAACATCAAATTACACAAATGAATCTATCATTCAATAACTATCGTAATCTTGGTACGTCAACTAAAAATACTTTGATTAGTGAAAGAGAGAAAAAAAATGAAACACTTCGATTTATATTTCAGTGAATGATATAAATGTATATCGAAATGTTGCAGTTTTTTCTCTCTCTTTCACTAATAAAAATGTTTAAGTTAATGAACAATAATAATATATTCTGACGAGGAAATAAACCAAGATATCAGATTACGTCGTCCAATTCAATAAGTAAATTTAAATAGATAAATTAAAAAAGGACACACTCTATATTCTTTATGTAGAAAAAAAGTGACATTTAATTTTCAGAGGTGGACCGGACGGATGGGAAAATGGTAAATTCAGATTTCATTTTAATATTCATTGCTTTTCTTCTTCTCCTCCTCTCTCTCTCTTTCTCTCTCTCTCTCTCTCTCTCTCTCTCTCTCTCTCGTCACATCAATTCACAGTCTGGTCTGTTCACCTGTTCTCAAGTTCTCCTTTGCTTCTTCAGTTCTTTAGCTCTCTGCTCAAAATCTCAAATCTCAAATCTGTCTTCTGGGATTTCACTGTTTTCCCACATTTCCTTGATCTGTCCCACTTCTCAAAAACCTCGCTTTTTTGGTTCATTTAGACATCTGAATCCCGTTTTAGATTAACCTTTCTTGGCGTTTATCCGCCTTTCTTGTGGGTTTGTAGAACACGCGAATGCCCAGTAAGAGAGAAACGAGAAAGTGAAATGCTTTGGTCGTATCTAGGGTTTAGATCTTCTTGAAATACTTCCCTAGTATTGGGTTGAATCTTTCCTCTTTTTGTGCTCGTAAAATCTGTAGCACATTTGGGTTTTCTTCTTCGTGGCTACAGTTCGTTTTTTACACGCTTAGAATTCTGAGTTTCGGTATTTCGCCGCTAGCCCGTCTGGATTTCCTCCGAAATGGATGAACCCATGACTGAAAAATGAGGCCTTTGGCGTCCGAAGAAGTTGATAGGTAAGATCTATGATTTCTACATGAACTGACCCCCCTTCATTGTATCTCTCTTCAGTTTTTTATTGTCTGAATTATTTTGAATTGTCTCCACTATCTCTGTCTGGTTTCATCAAATACGTCTCCAGTACTGACTGTAGGTGATAGCTGTCATAAATTCACTTCAACTTTAGGAAAAAGTCGAGTGATTTGAAGCGTTTACTGTGGAGATGTTCATCCTTCCGCACGCTCGTCCAAAATTTTTGTTAAAGTTGTCCTTTTTCCACCTGAAATTATTTGCCCAGAGTCTGATTTTTTGTTCAAAAGCAATATTTTCAGTCTTGGAGAAAAAATTCTGTGCTGTAAGTTATGTTTCATGAAGCTGTGAGTAATTATTCAGTTGCTGCTATATGCAGAGAAGACAAAATGGATGTTGTTAAGAGGAAAAGGTCCAAAGGAGGGTTTTTCAATCTGTTTGATTGGCCTGGAAAATCCAGGAAGAAGCTATTCTCCAACAGTTCTGAAATCTCTGGTAAGTCTGCTGCATTTTTATGTTTATAGTTGCAGATAGAAACGTGTTTGAAACGATCCTGTTGTTGCCAACTTCCTTTTATATCTGATCTGTTTTTGTTTGATTCATTTTCTCGAATGTATTTATGATATCATATATGCATGTATGTATGTATGCTTGCATGTGTGTTTGTGTATATATGTAGATATCGTTTTGTTTCTTTCTCGATCCATGATTCTCAAATTTTGTCTTTCTTTGATCAGAAGAGTCAAGGCAAGGAAGAGAGAAGAATGTCCAAAACTCATCAAAATCCCAGCTTTCTGCTGTAAGCTTTCCTGATAAGTTTGCCCGTTACCTTTACTATCTCCCAAGGCTCTGCTCTTGTATTTTTCTATTTCATGTTAGTTTAGCAGATAACGGGAATGATCTCGTTTTGTTGTTCTTGATACGATCTTTTTACCAGTTTGAGGTTGATGAGACCGGAAGGAGTTCAATTTACAATCCGAGAAGCGATTCAAGCTGTTGTGCATCGTCCGTTACAAGTGACGATGGGCAAGTGGCGAGAGCTCCCAGTGTGGTCGCAAGGCTCATGGGTCTAGAATCTTTACCGGTACCGAACGCATCAGATCCCCGCTTTAATCAAGATCTTGATCCATTCTTCCTCAGATGCAAGAATCCAGGTTGCGTAATTCTCTGTGGTGACGATGGTACTGTTCCTTGGGAGGACCATTCGGCTTCAAGAATGATCAAAGGGAATAACCGGCCAATTCAGCGGTTTCAAACCGAAACTCTGCCCCCGAGATCTGCTAAACCCATCTCTGTCACTCACAATAGGCTACTGTCTCCTATACGAAACCCTGGGTTTGTTCCGTCAAAGAATCCAGCTTATGTAATGGAAGCAGCTTCGAGAATGATCGAACCAAGTCCTCGGGTGGTTACAAGAACACGGTTTTCATCCATCGGTTCTTCTTCATCGGTGCCATTGAGGATTCAGGATCTGAAAGAGAAACTAGAAGCTGCACAAAAAGCACCAACCCGTCAGTTCTCTAACGATATCCATGACAGAGGAAAACATAACGAGAAGAGGAGTATGGTTTCACATACGAAACCAGGAACGAGTAAAATCTCGGGAAAAGGTGTTTCTGATGGTTTGAAGGGTAAAGTGAAACCATCATCTCAATCTGCACAAGCGAAAGCTGGTATTCAAAGGCAAGATGACTCGAAACCATCAAATGGCATTAAAAGAACTTCTTCAATAGCCAAAAAGGCTAGTGCAGAAGCGATGAATCGCATTGTCAAAAGCCAGAACGGTGGCAGAGGATCTTCACTGAATACAGGCAAGACAGTGCTTAAGCAGAATAACCAGAAACAGAATTGCAGGGATAGGCATCAAGCTGCAAGAGTTACTGTTCCAAACCAGCAATCCAAGAAAGTGATGAACAAAGTCGTAAGCAAAGTTCTTGTGGAATCTGAAATCGGGTCCTCGCCAAAAAAATCGGGTTCTCCACCATCGCTTGCGGGGAAGGAAATTTCTTTACCGGTATCTCAAAAGAAGAATCTTAGGAAACAAAAACCGCCAGATGGAGTGCAGGAGGTGAGAATAGCCAATGATGTGCAGATTAGAAGGGCTGAAAAATCAGTGAAACGCAACATCGCCATTCAGAAGGACTTGATATCGGGTAAAGATGAGCAGAAAAAGGACATGGATGTAATCTCATTTACGTTCTCATCGCCAATCAAGGGTATATCATCTACTCGAGGAACTGAACGAGACACTGATTCTGTGGTTAGTTTCAATGTGATCGGAGGTGATTCTTTGAATGATCTTCTAGAGCAAAAACTCAGGGAACTGACGTCTAAGATCGAGTCATCCAGCTGTAGTTTGATCCGAGAAGAGTCTTTGGTTTCGGTTGCAAAGGACGGGATCAATGTGGTGATCTCCTCACCATCAAAAAGTGAGGTATCAACTCAAAATGGCACGGACAAAGGTCTGTCTGAGAGTGAATCTCTGGATGAAAGCCGGACATTCCAGGTTAGATTCTGATCAAGCATTGTATAACATTTACTGATTGTAATTCAAATTCGGGTTTTTCACTGATTAACCGATCTTTTCTTCTGGAAACAAAAAAGGTGATGCGATCAAAAGAGCACGAGATTAGCAGCATCAACACTGTGTCAGATGCGGATGATCCCGGTCTCTCTTGCAGCAGGAGTTGCTCAGATTGCAGAGATCACACAGCTTATGGTTCGTAAACTCTGTCTATTTCTTGCCTTTTTAATGTTATCTATGAGTTTTCTGTGCCAAATTGCCGTGAGATCCTCATAATATTATCTGTTTCTTCATGAATCATGGCAAATCTTAAACCTCTAGACTGCATTTTAGGTTGTCGGTATAGTGTTATCTTTGCGGAAAACATATGAAGTTGTAAACTTTTGCTACATTTTCTTTGTTCAGGCATGAAACAGTCATCATCAGATGTAGAACTCACTTGGGTTGGAGCTCATCGAGAAGAAGAGGTGACGGAATTCGCGGAATCTGTTGCAACTCTCACCAAATTTTTGGAAGCGGAAGAACGTCTTCTGAACTGGGAAACTGACTACATAACCGAAATCCTAAGCACTGACCAATTGATGCTGAAAGAATTCGCCCTCGGGATGGCTGAAGATGTATTACCTTTGAGCATTTTCCATGAAACAGACATCCATGGAGATGATCCAACGACCAAGATTGATCGGAATTTTGGCTGCGTCACACCAGTTCTTAACAATACGGGGAGCTGCAGAGGGTTCGTAGGGAAACATGGGATATTGTTCGAACGGAGAGATTGGCTGGCCGAGGAACTTAACAGGGAGATTCAAGGGTTGAAGAAAATGCGGGAGAAGATGGTGGATGAGCTCGTAGATAACGATATGAGCAAGTCGGAAGGAAGATGGCTTGATTACGAGAAAGAAGCATACGAAGAAGGCATCGAGGTTGAGAGAGAGATAGTGTCTGCATTGGTTGATGACTTGGTCGATGATCTTCTCTCGGTGTTCTAGAAGCTTCTGTTCGGTTCTCTTGATGCATTGGAAGAAAGCGACGAGATTGATTGAAAGAATGTTTCGAGAAAGAGATGAGATGAAGCATTCTTTCGCAGAAATGAATCGTCTGTGTATTTTTATTCGTGTATGCCTCCTTTGTTTCGAATGAAATGAATGCAAATATTGATGCATAGTCTTCTTCTTCCATGGAAGTGAAACTATGTTCCTCAAGTGTTTTGGAATCTGGCAACAAAGAGGGAGGACAGGAAGACAACGAGAAACAGCGTGGAGTTCCAGTTCAAACGGCGCGGTGTGTGTTCTGAAATTACGTAAACTGAAATAATGCTGCTGATGAGTGATGACATGGATTAGTAAGGAGAGACGGGGCGAAGTTCTGGTCGGACATACTAAAACGGGAAGAAAGCTGGACTGAAAAAAAGGATAAACAACAAGAGGTTCTAATTTTAAAAATAAGGGGGCGTTCCGAGAATCGAACTCGGGACCTCTCGCACCCGAAGCGAGAATCATACCACTAGACCAAACGCCCATGTAGTTGTTTCATATCTACAAAGGATAGAAAATTTTCAGTGCCCATTTCGTCGTTCTCCCTCTGTCTGCGCGGACGAATCATCGTTGGTTCTGTTCTTGTCCTAAAGCTATTCGCGCACAATGGCTTCTACCAACACCGTAAGTATACTCTAATTTCTATGTTCTTCTTTTTTCCTGTTAAGTTCCGAGGAAGTTTGTGGACGCACCTACAAGTTCGATTTTTGGTGACATTTTTTGAATTTCTTGTTATTTTAGTTAGAAAATGATTATGATTTCGCTATGCGTTTTGGTTCGGTTTTGTAGCCCGCTGGGGTCGATCATACATTCAGAAGGAAATTCGATCCAGAAGGTCGGATTTTGTAGGAGTATCTCATCGTTTTTTTATTCTTTCGTTCGCTGATTTCAATTGAAAGCTGAATATTTTTGGTCCAGGACTCAGAACGGTCTAAATCAATGCCGGTGTAAGCTAAGTCCTTGTGGTTCAATTAAGTGTTAGGCTGTGGATTTTCATCTGAAGTTCCGTTTCACATTCAGCAAAAGGTCCTCCCGTGCAAAGAAAGCCTCTGGAGCACAGAGATTATCAAGTCGACCTTGAATCTCGGCTGGGTAATTTGATCTATCTTAACCTTTATGCATCCATTTTTGTTTGATGCCATGTACGGATACCTGAACATAACTGGTGATACGGTAGTACTGTATAATTGCCACTGCCAGTTTGCTGAATGGCAGATGATTTTGTGTCTGAGTTCTTTTTCTGTGAAGGGCTTAGAGCATCGAATGTTGCATATTGCTACAAAGTGTGTGTTCCATGCCAAAGTTTTTATCTTATTTTCACATGTTTCTGTTCCCGAGTATCTGATATGGTAACCGATACATTTCGCTTTGCTGCATAACGAATGCAGATACTCGGCCTTTCATTGTCCATGATAAAAGATCATATTTTTTTTTGTATCACCTACTACCATCTGCTAAACATATTGGGATATGATTTCGTGACGGGTAATATGTTTTCCTAGATTCTTTCGTGAGTTTGAGCATCTCATGTTGATTTTGGCTATGGGTGTTCCGTGGGTTCTTCTCGGGAGTAATTGATATGGTAGCTGATACGTTTTTGCTGTAGAAATGTTTTGAAGTTCAGCTCTTCAGTACCCTGAAAACTAGGTGAAATTTTGTGAACACCTTTTCTATCTGCTTACCATGTTAGGACGGGAGTGATGTTACATATAATTCGCATCCGCTGTTTCGATAGCAATGTTTAAAGAACGAGAAATGATTTTGATTATGTAAAAGCTGCTTGATTTTGACGTCAAATTCGTCAATGTTGCTCGTGACATATATGAACGAGAAAGCGTATATTGTGGGGTGGCCCATGTCTAATAATTAGCTTGGTATCCATCATTCCCAATCGACCAGTTAATGAGTTGTCGTCATGTCTAAAATATGCTCTATGGCCTTCGTTTTTCCGCAGGCTGGTTACTACTGTTCTGTTTGCGGGTACGTGGTAAAAGATTCTGCCAACTACTTGGATCACATAAACGGGAAGAAACGCAAGTACCCGAAACTCAAAACCTGATCTTGCTTCTGTAACAGTCACCTGGATGGAACATGGAACCTCGTATTGTGTTTTTTCACCGGGGATTTAGGTAACAATGGACTCTTTTTTACGGGTATTTTTTCCTGCAGATCAAAGGGCGTTGGGTATGTCTATGCGGGTCGAGAGGTCATCACTTGAGCAAGTATTAAACCCCCATATTTCATATGATTAAATCCGAGACAATGCTTTCGGAATTGTTTTGCATTTTAGGTTCAGGAAAGGTTCGAGTTTTTAAAGAAACGAAAAAGGCCCGGTACCTTTACGGAAAAAGGTGAGATTCTACACAGACTCCCTCTTTTCTGTTTGATGAACGTATAAGGAAACAGCAAGAAGATGAAGAAGAAGGAAGACGGCGACGGCATGAGAAGAAGGTTAGTGATCATCATCATCATCATCATCATGATATGTACATGCACACTCAGCCTTTGGGCTGAGTGAACTGCGAATTCATTCACTAGTTGAGAAAGAAAATGAATAACAAAGTCGAAAGCCCTAAATCCACAAGTTCAACATCACTGGATTTGATCAAAGTTAATGGATCATTGTTTAGAGTTGATATAAGCCGCAAGCGTGTCATCGTCGTCATCATCATTATATGCAGTGTCGCTAAAATCCAGATCGAAGTTAGAAAACGCCCTTCGTATCGCTTCGCTCTGCAAATCTCCCTCCACCTCTTGCGGTTCCATAACGCCCGTCGATACCTGAAAGTTACCTTCCTTATCTAACCTCTGTCGCTTGGCGTTCTCCTGCGGCGAGTTTTCTTCCGTCCCAAGCAACCTTTCCTGCCAAATCGGATTCACTAACGCGTTTGCGTTTGCGTTTGCGTCCGCGTCTGGAACCGTTGAGTTCGCTCGCCTCCCAAGCAAAGCCTGTGGGTTTTTTTGCGTCCGTCTCTTGGAGTTCTCCTGCAACGAGTTTCCTTGCGTCCGGAACAACCTTTCCTGCCGAAATGGATTCACTAGCACGTTTGTGTTTGCGTTTACGATTGCGTCCGAATCTGAAACCGTTGAGTTCGCTCGCCTGCCAAGCAAAGCCTCCACTGTCTCGTAGGCTTCTTCCCGATACACTGGGTTTTCTTGCGTCCGTCTCTTGGCGTTCTCCCGCAACGAGTTGTCTCGCATCCCGAGCAACCTTTCCTGCCAGGACGGATTCACTAGCGCGTTTGCGTTTGAGATTGCGTTTGCCTCCGCGTCTGGAACCTTTGAGTTCGCTCGCCTCCCAAGCAAAGCCTGTGGGTTTTCTTGCATCCGTCTCTTGGCGTTCTCCCGCAACGAGTTGTCTCGCATCCCGAACAACCTTTCCTGCCCAAACGAATTCACTAGCGTGTTTGCGTTTGGGATTGCGTCCGCGTCTGAAACCATTGAGTTCACTCGCCTCCCAAGCAAAGCCTCCACTGTCTCGTAGGCTCCTTCCCGATACAGGGGGTTTTCTTGCGTCCGTCTCTTGGCGTTCTCCCGCAACGAGTTGTCTCGCGTCCTGAGTAACCTTTCCTGCCCAAACAGATTCACTAACGTGTTTGCGTTTGCGATTGCAGTTGCGTCCGCGTCTGAAACCATTGAGTTCACTCGCCTCCCGGGCAAAGCCTCCACTGTTTCGTAGGCTCCTTCTTGAAATTGGTTTACTTCTGGCCCAAGTAATGTATATCCAACCATCTGATCTAGGCTTTGGTCTTGAACGGGAAACTGGCTTCCACCTTCTATCATAACCTGGTTTTGGACTCTGTTGTATGCATCCTCCACAAGGAAAGGTCCTGTAAATACGTTAAGACAACATCAATTTCATATATATACGCATACACATATATGAACATATATCTATATATATATGCGTACACCTTGAGGAGGTGGTGCAGGAAGAACACGGTAATGGCGAAAGTCATGATGAAGATTGATGAGATCCGTATGAACATACTGAGGGGCATAGTCATCGTTGTTAAGGTCGAAATACGGAGTTGCTAAAGACGGGAAAGGGACTTTGCTGCAAGCGAGCAAGTGGCTGTCACTGACAAGTTTCTCGTAGTGCTTCTCGAGAACTCCAGGTGCAAAGATAAGCCTGTGTCTCCTGTAATAAACATTCGATGTAAACACCAAAAACAGATCCAGATGTCTGTAATCGAAGAACTTTCCGACATATATTGGTGAAAATTTTCAGATTGGGATAAGGTATGATCGAACCTGCAACGAGAAGCTGCGCCATTGGTGAAATCTGAAGTTAACTTCCACTGGGTGTGTCGTTTTGGCTGTGGGTTTGTCTCCAAGAAAAACAACGGAGGATGTGCCAACTGCGACAATATGTTACAAATCCAAGAACACAAACGTAATACATATATATATATATATATGTATGTATACAGATGTACGTACCTCGACGTTGAGTTCAGAGGGCTGATTGGGATGAAAGCTGGGTGAGAGAGACAAGACGTCAGACCACTTGATCTCGAACTTGCTCTTCACCTGTGATTGATACATATTTAGTTCATAGAATGACGAATATACATACATGTCAATCACATGCTTATTATAACCATATATATATACACATACATCTATACACACTTGTTAGAATATGTTGATTACAAGAAGCAAAACTGAGATCAGATATGCGTTCACAACAACACAAAGACATCATCGCAAGATAGAAGACATGGAACTTATAACAGATAAGGAAAAGACCACAGAAAAGGAATCAAATCAAAATCTGCTCCAAATCACGTGATAATCAAGAGCATATATAATCAATCTGCAAATCACGTGATATACATATATATATATGTATATAGGTTTTAGACATTTATAAGATTTTTTGTAATTCTTTCCTTTACACAACCAGCTAACCGTTGACCTACATCTCAATATGTATGTATTATTATTTCTTCTCGGTTCAGATTTAGGGTTCTTTGTTTTCGCTCGATTTCATCCTCATTCAAACTACAAAATCTTCAACACTTTGGGTTTTGGTGTAACGAAACTTACCCTCTCGGGAGTGCCGTTTCTTGCGGTCAACCCAAGAATTTCCCACACGAGTTTCCTCGTCGCAAAGTAACATTTTGCCGTCAGATCTCCGTTGTATACCGCTTTCAACTACGAGAAATTAAAGCAAGAAGAAGACGAAAGATCAAGGTTTTTTTTTTTTGTTAAAAGGTATATCTGTATTCATACTAAAACGAAAAGGGTTTCTGAATTCATACGAAAGGAAGTAAATTTTGCTTGTAATATATACATATATATAGTATATACATATATATGGTTTATACCTTCCAGTTGTCGATGACAATGGCGGACATATGGAAATTCAAAGCCTTGAGTTTCTCATTGGGTCGACGAAGAACAGAATCTTGGTTTTGGCTGGGGATTTGGTTTCTATTGTTGGAGTCAGTTGTCTCCATTGTGTTCATAGCGATGTGAAGTTGTGTGCAAGAACCCTAAACCCTAAATCCTGCAAATTCAAATTTTCAGATTTCAACACAATATATATATATATAGGTTTTTATAAACATAAGATCAGCAAAAAAAAGTAATTTTAAAAAAATCTACCTCTATATGAATTGTACGTATCTCTTGTATGGGTGTTCTAAGAAAAAGAAGAGTTAATATTAATCGCATATTTGTTTTAGATATAGTTTGATAATATATTAGAGTTATATATTAATTGCATATTTGTTTTAGATATATTTGATAGTACCTTAGAAATAGAATCCTACTAACGGAATTAGTTTTTTTCTATTTTTATAATTATTTATATATATATAAGTTTTTTGTAAATTAATCAAAATCTACCGCCATTAATTAATCAAAATCTCAAATCTGTCTTCTGGGATTTCACTGCTTTCCCCACATTCCCTGATCTGCCCCACTTCTCGAAAACCTCGTTTTTTTGGTTGTTTTAGACATCTGAATCCCGTTTTAGATCCGCATTTCTCGTGGGTTTGAAGAACACGCGACTGCCCAGTAAGAGAGAAGCGAGAAAGTGAAAAGCTTTGGCCGTATCTAGGGTTTAGATCTTCTGGAAATACTGCCCTAGTATTGGGTTGATGAGACCGGAAGGAGTTCAATTTACAATCCGAGAAGTGATTCAAGCTGTTGTGCGTCGTCCGTTACCAGTGACGACGGGCAAGTGGCCAGAGCTCCCAGTGTGGTCGCAAGGCTCATGGGTTTAGAATCTTTACCGGTACCGAACGCATCGGATCCCCGCTTTGATCAAGATCTTGATCCATTCCTCCTCAGATACAAGAATCCAGGTTGCGTAATTCTCCGTAATGGCGATGATATTGTTCCTTGGAAGCGAAGAATCGCGTTGTCAAAAGCCAGAATGGTGGCAGAGGATCTTCACTGAATACAGGCAATACAGTGCTGAAGCAGAATAACCAGAAACAGAATTGCAGGGATAGGCATCAAGCTGTAAGAGCCACTGTTCCAAACCAGCAATCCAAGAAAGTGATGAACCCAACAGATATAAATATGAAATCGGGTCCTCGCCGAAAAAATCGGGTTCTCCACCATCCCTTGCGGGGAAGGAAGTTTCTTTACCGGTATCTGAAAAGAAGAATCTTAGGAAACAAAACCGCCAGATGGGGTGCAGGAGGCGATCATAGCCAATGATGTGCAGATCAGAAGGGCTGAAAAGTCGGTGAAACGCAACATCACCCTTGAGAAGGACTTGATATCTGGTAAAGATGAGCAGAAAAAAGACATGGATATAATCTCATTTGCGTTCTCACCGCCAATCAAGCTTGGTATAACATTTACTGATTGTAATTCAAATTCAGTTTTTTCACTGATTAACCGATCTTTTCTTCTGGAAACAAAAAAGATGATGCAATCAAAAGAGCATGAGATTAGCAGCATCAGCACTGTGTCAGATGCGGATGATCCCGGTCTCTCTTGCAGCAGGAGTTGCTCAGATTGCGGAGATCACACAACTTATGGTTCGTAAACTCTGTCTATTTCTTGCCTAGGTTGTCGGTATAGTGTTATCTTTGCCGAAAACATATGAAGTTGTAAACTTTCGCAACATTTTCTTTATTCAGGCATGAAACAGTCATCATCACATGTAGAACTCACTTGGGGTTGGAGCTCATAGAGAAGAAGAGGCGACAGAATCTGTTGCAACTCTCACCACTTTTTCGGAGGCGCGCGGAAGAACGTCTTCTGAACTGGAAAACAGACTACATAACCGAAATCCTAAGCACTGACCAATTGATGCTGAAAGAATTCGCCCTCGGGATGGCTCAAGATGTATTACCTTTGAGCATCTTCCATGAGACAGACTTCATGGAGATGATCCAACGACCAAGATTGATCGCTATTTTGGCTGCGTCACACCAGTTCTTAACAATGAAACGCGAGCGGGTTTTCACGTGGAGCTGCAAAGGGTTTGGGGATATTATTTGACCGGAGAGATTGGCTGGCCGAGGAAATTAACAGGGAGATTCAAGGGTGGAAGCAAATGCGGGAGAAGATGGTGGATGAGCTCGTACATAACGATATGAGCAAGTCGGAAGGAAGCATACGAAGAA